TAGGTTAATTTGATGAAATCTTACTGAAATTGATTGATATTGAATGATTTTTTTGATAAATTTAAATGTGATTCTAATAAGGGTTGTGCCTTCTATTTCTGGCGGCTAACTATGAGTCTCCTATTGCAAGATGATAATGATCACATGTCACATCAGCACACTACATGAAGTCCCCCACCCCGACTTCGACCTTTCTCGAGAAGGGTTGTGCACATGTTCCTCTCCTTCTAGGTCATACTTGCTTAATCTAAGATGTTCGTTGCTTGGTCTTGTCCCTTGGAAATTTAGGAGATGTAATTCGCTAACTATAACCATCCATGTGTTAACTTATGACTGGCAAACCTTCCGTTGTAGGCTTCTCAAGCACACCTCTATTTTGGGGGCTATTACACGCACGTTTGTCACCTTTTTTTGAATTTTCATTAGTTTTTCCTGTCTCTTTGGTAACTGTTCCCAAATTGAATAGCCCTTGGGGGTATAAAATTAAATACTCAGCACATCACCTAGAATACTCGGCGCTAGGTCATGAGTACTTTGACATAGTGCACTTGATGTTCGTGATGGGTTGGTGTCTATGGGGCTTGAGGCCATGAATGCTTGGCCTGGTCCAAGGATCTAACCCCAACTGTCCCATCTTTAAGCATTAATGAGGCTTGACAGGGGAGCACTTATTACGTGGGTTGATGACAGTAGGCTGTCAGGCCTAGATTTGGTACTGAAGTTGTTGCCATGTCATCATACTCAAAGGTATAAACACTCGAATGAAACAAAACACATGTTTGCATGTTGAACTGGAATTGCATTTTACACTTATCCTCTCAATCTTGAGCATCAACTGACTTAAGCGTTAGAGGGGATAAGCCAGGTGCACTCCCTATCCCTTTCTGACATCGTTCCTTGTTTTTCAGGAATCTCATCCATCTCACTCTGAGACAAGCTATCTCAAATTATTGTAGGAAAACACCTGTGCAGTATTGAACATCGAATTCATTCCAAACAACCTTATCATAAACATATATAGTGGCAATCCACATCAAAGTGTTTAATTGGAGTATAAAATATTGCAGTGGAAGCAAGGGAAATAGAGCTTTTGTCACACCAAATGAAAAGAGTAGAGAGAAGAATGCGAAGATATATGAATAAGGAAGGTAACCAAGAAATTTTTGGCAGGGGTGTGAGCTAATTGACAATATTCTGTGGGTTTCTTTTTCGCATTCCAAGAAATAAGATTATGGCCAAGAAAAACACAATATCCCCCGGTGGAGTGACGATCATCTTGATTCCGGCATCTAAGTAAGCTTGTAGCTATAGGGAGCCAAGTTGAAACAAAAGACCATGATTAAATGTACCTTTAAGATAATGTAAAATACGTTTCACGACTATCCAGTGAACAATGCTCGGTTTGTATATAAATTGGCTTTGGCACGCTTGTTTAACAGAATAGGCCAAATCAAGGCTAGTGACGGATAAGTATTGAAGAACACCAACCAAATGACGATACTCAGTTTCTTTATGTAGATTCTCTGCATCAGTAGCTGCCAATTTTACCACTGGGGGTTGGGCACAAAATTGGTTTCACCGCATGCATTTTTGTTCTGCACAGAAGATCAACAACATACTTATCTTAAGGTATAACCCGGTATATATAACACAGACTTCAAGACCCAACAAAATAATTAAGTGGACCAAGATCTTTCATAGAGAATTGTTTCCGGAGAGTCTGAACAAGTTGTGAGAAATAACTCTCACTATTACCGGTGATGAGTATGTCATCAACATAAATGAGTAAGACAAATGAAAAGCCTTCAACTCAACGAAACCAAAATCCTCAAGATAATTTGAAACAAGCTTGAACCAAGCATCAAAGCCTATTTTGAACCAGAAATAGAAGTTGATGGAGTTGAAACACATGATCCAAAAATGTTGGATTAACATAACCTTTTTGCTGATGCATATATACTTATTCGGTAAGATG